TGGATTGGGACCCTAGGGAAGAAAAAGAAAATTCCAGCATCTCTTTTCAAACCTATGACAACCACCACCTTAAACTCAATGCTGTTAGGACAGTATTATTAATATTATATTTAAACACATTAGTATCTCTTAAAATACAAATTATCCATTTCATAAGTCTGCCCTGTTATATATGTCTTTTCATTAACTTCTGGGACATTTCACCCTGCAAATAACACATTCTGAATATTTGTAAATATGATCTCTATTATTTAGGCAGAATACAAGTTCTATAGTCTTATAGACACAGAGCTATCTGCTCTTTCTCAGCCCTGTTCAGCACTGGGGCCAGAGGACACAGCAGAATGTCTTTGTTACATGATCTAATTATCAAAAATCCTAGAAAGCAGCAAGTCACATTTAAACCCTATGTATATTTATATATACATATATATGTACACACACATACAAATCCCCAGACCTTGGTACAAACCTTGAACTGACAGAATAAACATGTTCCTATGTAGAAACAAAGTCTGAGTAGTTTTTGCCAAAATTATTATTTCCCACTAGATTTCTGGAAGTATTTTGAAAGTAACATTGTTTTGCAACTTCTTCAGAGATGAAACATGAAACATTTCTGATCAGGAAGGTAAAAAATATTTATTGTTTTGCTTTCACTTTTCTTTTTGCATCCTTGTGCTTCTTCCGGCATTCCTGAAAATATTTAAAATATAATATTATGACTAAAATAATAATGAATAATACAAGTCTCTGAATTCACCTATTTGTCTCAAACACTTTTTTAACATACAGTTAAGTAACTGGTCCTGTACAACGCAGAGATTCAGTAATTTGCCTGACTGGACATCCTAACATGGTGTTATACTCACTTTTATACTAAAAAAGTTTAGTTCCTTGGTAATTACAAAATTTCAAGCCTTTCTAGAGGTCCTGAATTATGTTTTTATGCAAATAAGCAGCCGTGTTCCCTCCTCATGCTCAGCTTTCAGCCACAGCTGTTAAATACTCACCTCAAGCAATAATCTACGTCTGTCTTCCCAACCATCTTTTTCTTCACTGAGATCTACTGATCTACAAAATAACTTAGGGCCCTCTGCACAAAAAAGAACAAATTAATATGGTTAAACACTTCTGGAAGATTGCAGTGCAGTAACTGTACTAACACAGCAACATATTTAATGATAGTTACCTAATATGTCTCAAGAAACAAACATTATTTGAGGCTGTCCTGATAATTTAGTGCATAAAACATCACAAGCAATTGTTTTTGTGGTGTTTGGGGGTGTGGTGTTTGGTTTGGTTTTAAATAAAAAACTCACTATATTCATACAAAAAAACCCCCCAGATTAATTAGGACTGAGAACCACATGGGCATATGTGGCTAATAAGAATATTCAGCATTTCTAACAGTAACACCAGAAAGACAAGAGAAAGTTAAAGATCATATATATGCCTGAAAGGGTCCAAAATGTCCAGATACCAAAAAAAAAAATAAAAAAAAATCACTTGACAAGTTAAGGCCTGAAAGACCAGCCACATATTAGGCAATTATCTGAAAAAAAGGAAAGCAAGACAGATATTCAGCATTTATTTTACCAGAACTTTCTCATGGGATTCTACCACAATTCAGACCACAAGTAACGACAGAAATTGGCAATTTATTTTTTTTTTCTTAAACC